CGCGGCGATTTGTTCGAAATTTGAATAGCAACAGCGCGCTGCTCACTAGCTGGAGTCGTGCGGCGGCGATCAGTTCCATATTTGAAATGGCAAATAATACTGTTATGGAATTTGTATGGACTATAACTTAACTATTTGCTTTGGTAACACACGCGTTTTTTATGACCCGCTTTACATATTTAAAACCGGTGGAATTACATCAGCTTTACGAGCAAGGGTGTTAAAAATATATATAATATACTATAAACACGTATATTTAGTTCAACGAACCTCCGGTTTCGTACGCGGCCGAAGGGAAAAAACATTGGTATATGTAATGTACCAATCGAATGCAGCGGTATTCTTTTAAAATTTCGAGGTAAGTTTGTGGTTTTTTCTGCCGTGACAATTTTTAGGAGTCGTATTTTCACTCCATATACTAATCAGTGTACATTTTCAATTTTACTATATATTTTTACCTGTGTGATTGATTCCACACTTTTACTGTTGAAGATATTTTTTTTGTGTTTGTTCGTTCTGTGTATATATATATAACAACAAACTAGTGGTGTATTTTACCAAAATATATGAATATCATGGTAGAAAAAACATCACGATATTGAATAGAATAAATATTGCAACTTGATCATTTTCTAAATTTTTTTCTTCTTCGTTTAGTGACAGTATTGATTGCAATGTGCTATAAAATATATTAATATACGCATGAGATGTAATCGAAAAAGAAGGGCGAGGAGTCCAGAGTCGGAAAGCAACTCATATTTTAGGTGTTTTGTAGAAAGAGCGACAGTGCCATTTTGTAAAATTTTCAGGAGAGCTTATTTCAGATTTTAAAATATTTACGTCCTGTTTTTTTTTCAGTTTTGGTTTTCATTTAATTTAAGTTTTATAATTTAATTTAAAACATGACGTAAAAAGCTATTTATATTATTTATAAAATAGGCATGCGTTTTTGTCCTATCTACGAAACACCTACGATACGATATTGATAGGTAATAATACATCTCTTAAATTTTCACTCTTGTAAAAAAGTAATTTATCTTGGTTGTCTGTCTTTTTTGACGATGGATTACTCCATGACGTAAAAGTTCATTTGTTCATTGCGTAAAAGTGTTGCCCTCGCGAACAGTTAATGGTTGGAGTCGATAAATATTTTTTCGACTATCGACTAAATGTTGCGTACCCGTATGCAATAAATAATTAGAATTGTAACAAAAACACATAACATGCAACAACACAAATTAGTTCCGTCACGCACCACTAGATGGCATTGGCATCGAAATCGCAAATTCTCCCTCGCGGTGTTAAGATTTTTCCTCGCGGAATGACTACTGTCGGCGATTCGAACATAATGTGAAGACGGAACGGAAGAGCTGGAATCCCATGCCACCGAATCCTGGCAACACACCATCGAGTCAACCGGCGACGACTATCAGGTACCAGATGAAATACCTGGGCCTTGTCCGGCGATGGAACTTTGGGGAGCATTTCCGGCAACTTGCTCGAACTTGCTTGCAATAGTGGGCGCCGTATTGGTCGGCTCCTGCCCAATCTCGGGAGGCCGGGAGCCCCAAGCAGAAGGCTATACTCCGGGGTGACCCGAAGTATGGCCCTATACGGGGCTCCCATTTGGAGTGGGGCCTTATCAGCAGCGACGAAATCGCTGCTGAGGAGGCCTCAGAGGGTGGTCTCCCTGGGAATGTGCAGGGCGTACATGACTGTGGCCTGCGCTGCCGCATGCGTCCTCGCCGGTATTCCGCCGTGGGACCTTGAAGCCGAGGTCCTGTCGGAGGTCCACGCCTACCGGCGGGGAATGAGGGACCGAGGCGAGCGCCCTGCTCCCCAAGAAGTCGAACGGGAGCGGCGCAGCGCATGCGGAAGCGGTGGAAAGAGGGCTTGACGGATCCCCCCTATAGAGCTTTTACCATAGGGTACTGGCTTACAACAGGGCAGGATCTCTCGCTGCCGGGCGTGGTTGCCGCCTTGCTCGGTAGCATGGAGTTCTGGGAGGCGGTGGCCTCCTTTTGTGGAGAGATTATGTCGCAAAAGGAGGCTGCGGAGCGGGTGCGCGAGGACGCGGCCCGCTTCAGCGCATACGTACGGGAATACGTCGCCTGATCCCCTAGTGAGGCCAGCGGGCTCTGGACAGGGATTCCGGAGCCTGCATTGCACGGCCTCACTCGCATGGGGGGCGGATCGGAGGACAATTCACCTATCTTTCCGTTGGCGCGGGAGTCCTGGTGCAAGCTAGGGCGGCCGGGCGGCGTCGTGGTGAATGTGCACCGACCCCACGGCGCCGACTCAACCGGCGGGAGGTAAACTCGGGGGGGTTTAGTAGGGTAGCCCCTCCAGTCTGGAGGGAGAGTCCCCACATAACCCCTGAGTCTCCCTGGGCTCACATCTATAAAGATTATCCCCCCCCCCCCCCGTTAAAAAAGAAGGATCGACTCGGTCCACTAGTGGCGATCGCCTCCGCCGAAAGAGGCCAACTCAGCGGGTTCGAGACGACTACGGCTACTACCTCGTCTACATACGCATCTAGTACTGGTGTAGGGTGGCACATGAAATTAAAATGAGTTTGAGGAAGTACCTCATTTAAAAAAAAGAGGCGGTACAATGCCCTACTTCAAATGAGGTGAGGTAGTGGTAAGAATGTTTGCACTTATGGTAATGACTCAACAGACAGGGAATATTAAGGACATTTTCGTAACTTGATAGTATCAATCAACTGGATAACTTATTGTTATGATATAGTATAAATAAATACTAATTTTATTTAGTACTATGATCTATAAATACACCTAAAAAGCAGGTAGTGCAGGACCAATCATTGTTGAATTCGAAGAAGTGTGACCATAGTGAGGCTGTGACATGAGGTGAGGTATGAGGTGGGACATTTATATGACATGAAGTGTTGTGACAAACTAACCAAGCGAGTGGTACAAACGAGTTGCCTCGTGTATGAGAAACTTAACACTATCTAGTACTGCTTCCTTATCTGGAACAGCGCTTTAGATCGTACATAGGTAGTACTTATCGCTAGTTACTTAAGGGTAATGTACACCAACGGTTGCACCCAAAATCGCTTCCTATTTGGAACGGTGTATGGGACTTCCGTTACGTGTTGTCTAGGGGGAGTAGTTTTCCTACCGTACGTTATACTGTTCTATTGTAATACCTGTGGTACCGAATGTATCAAGAAAAAAACTTGTGCTATACGGAAGAAAGTTTGGTTTCCTCTGTCACCCTTACTACGCTTCACTACAGAATTACAATTGGTCGAACTCATGAGCGTAGGTTCAATTGTATTATCGATTTTTGCAAGTTCAAACATGCGCTACATTTAGAACTATGTCTATTAAAAATATAAAGAGGAGACATATTGTAAGTTTTTTATTATAGACAGTCAAATCCGCCTGTTTTTATTAAAATGTATATGAATAAAAAATTAGATAAGAATAAAGAAGACAATAACGCAATCAATAATCATTAAAACGTCGTAACATTCATGAATTCAGATCTTTTAGGCAAAACTGTACCTTCTTTCAAAATCTATCCATAAAGCTGTCGACAACAACTACATGACTATTTAAAATATTATAAAAACTGGCAACCATGCAAATGTCATTTTACTCCGTCTTCAAAAAAGATAGACTGATCAATAATACTTCAGCGGACATATTTCTGATAGTGGACGTCGGGTAATACAAGAAACGCGTTCGTTAAAAATAACACTTACAACGCTAGGCGGCATACAATGCCCGGTGTACATCCTGTGAACCTCTCCCACGCCAGAGTCGGGTACTGGTGTGGAAATGCTCGTGAACTCAAGTGGCCGCTTTTCTGAAACCAAATGGACATCGCTCTTAATAACGCCTTATTAAGTTAACTTACGTACGTAATGTAATTTTTAAGTTTTTATTGAATATTTCACCACCATGATATTCAATTATTTTTGTGTAATTACTCCACAAATCTTTTTTATAATACCAAGTGATAGTTAGTTTGTGATCGCGAGTGCATGTATAATACGATGTTATTAATTTCATAGTTGTAGAAAGATCTAGGTTTTTAGGAAACGTCGTCCGTTGGTCACCTCTCAGGTCTGTGAGCTTTCGTTTACGCGTTCTGTATCCTTTTCGATACATTTAAAAATAAATTGACGTGAAACTGCATTTAACTGACCGAAGGTGTTTTGTGAGTTAAATGGAATAATCTACTAAAAACTATTAAATTATTCGACATAATTTATTTTTTTTACTTTATTTATCGATTAAATAAATCGTGTTTTATAACATTTTTATTGAGTGTTTTGTATCCTTTCTGATACGTTTAAAATACATTGACATGAAACTTCATTTAACTGACAGTTAAATAATAAATAATAATAATAATAACGCACACACTCTCTGTTAACCCCGCAGTAGGGGAACCCCGTGTCGCGGATGCCATGGACTACCACATAGACTACCACATAGACAACCACAAATTACATCCAAACTCACGAGAGAAATAAATGTAAGCCATAAAAATATTTATCCCGGTCCGGGAATGGAACTTGGGACCTCTCCGTGGTAGTACGACATGGTAACCGTTCGGCCAAGCAGCTTTTGTACTGTAATGATAGCACATTAGCTGCCTCCGTAATGACAGCAGGTGTTTTGTTAGTAGGATGAAATAGTTTACTGGAACTTCTATACTTTAACTTTGATTTTATTTATTACATTTTAATTATAATGTTATTAGTAACTTGATATGGAATCTTTTCATGCGAATTAAGTGATAATTAAATACTTGTAGGTTAGGGTTTATTCAGATTTAGTTACGATTTAAATTATTATTTCAGTTATACTCGGAAGATAGAGGTTTAATTTTATTTAGGTTTTATTGAGTTAATGTGTGATAACACAAAAATGCCAGTTAATTGTCTCAGTTACATTTAGAGTATTGGGATAAAAAAGATGTTAAATTGTAAATTAAATGTTTAATTCAGTTATTTCTGTAACTTTATGAATTTCAATATAGAGTTCATAATTACTCATACATTATTTGACATTATGAGTAGTTGGAACACCAAGAATAATTTGTAAGTTTATTTTATTAAGCGAACGTTCCGAAGGCGTCCATATTTTAAACAATGTTGTTTTACTTAATTAATTAGCAATGTTATATTACACTTTGTAGCCTTTGGTTATTATCAAAAACCTAAAGGTGAGGTAAACTGTGATAACTCGGTACAATATATATTAAGCAATGTTATTTTACTGGGTTTCACGGTAATAGTTTATTACATATTGTAACCTTTAGTAATTATATCAGCAATGGTTTAGATTGCCTAAGGTGAGGTATGATTACTCATTAAAGATATGAATACTTAATATTGTGTGTTTAATTCCGGTCATATCTGTTGATGTAGCGGATATCTGGAAAATGGAATTAGACAACCAATTAAATTCAACTAGATTAGATATATCGAGAGCGTTATCTGTACCGCGTCGCGCAAGCTTGGCATCCTGAACAAGGTGCACCGATTTTTTACTCCAGAGCTGCGATACCTGTTGTATAAAGCTCAGGTCCGAAGCAGCATGGAGTACTGTTCGCACCTTTGGGACCGCTCTGCCAAGTACTTGCTCGATGCCCTAGATGGACTGCAGCGCTACGCCTTCCGTGTTGTCAACGATCCTCATGTAACTGAGCATGCGGAGTCGTTACAGCTTCGCAGAGATATAGCGTCTCTTAGCGTATTCTATCGCCTGTACCATGGTGAGTGCTCTGAAGAGTTATTCAACCTTTATCCCTTCCTCTCCTTTCCATCAGCGGACCACCCGTGCCGGACTGCGTTGCCACAGTTGGACGGTCAGTTCATTACCGTCCCGCACTAAAAAGTTTGGCAATTAGTTTTTATGGCGAACCATCAAATTGTGGAACCAACTCCCGGCGCATGTATTCTCTCCCCTCTATAACATCGGGTCCTTCAAACGTAGTGTGAAGAAGCATTTGACCAGACCGGCAAAATGATAGTGACGGAGTGAAGATATTTGTGTTTTCCATCCGTTACTCTCATCTCTGGACTGTATTCGCACTTTCCATCAGGCGCGGTGCAGTAATTTTGCCGAGTCACAATAAAAAAAAAATTAAAAAAATATTTTAGGCTGGTACTTTGGCACACATATCATACAATTACGTGAACTCGTTTGTCAAATCAAAAGCTTTTGTGGAAGACGATGCTTTTTTGTCAGCGATGATGTTGAATTTACCTGTGTTCCTTCCATAGCTCCTGCCAGACTAATTATGCCTTGATATCTTTGAATATCTCTTTTATGTCTGATTAGCGTTTTCCGTAACGTGGCGGCCTGCCACAACCTCTTGAAATAATATTACTTTAACCTTGCATTGACTTTTCCTACCATGACGCGCTTAAAGTAAGCTTATTATAATGTTAAAACTATGATGTTTTATTAGCAGCTTTGTGACTATTCCATTCTCTCAGTTCGTACTATGACGCGACTTTAACATTAAAGTAATATTGCTGTTATGTCAAATTTAGTAATCTTAAAATAGTTACATGGATGCAATGGAAACAATATTATTTTCAGTTTTATTGTCTGAATATTGATTTGTAATGATTATTTAAGTTGAACGCGATGTTTATTTCGCAAAATTATTACAGCAACATCTATATGCTGCTTGGTGACACTAACAGTTGACACTAGACTCATAATTACGAATTCACAAAATGACAATCAAGACTCAGCTTGTTTTATTTATTTTTCTTCATGAAAATGCGGAAAAATAATTGAAAACGATGTAATTTTAATAAATTTTACTATTACATACTTTTCTTTTTTAACAGTTAAAATTCTCTGAATGTAAATAGCATTAAGTACTTAAACATTATACTACGAGAAGACGGTTCGGAACATCAAAAAAGAAAGAGATGGCATTATATAGTTCGCGTTCGTTCTTTCAATTACTTTAGCAATAATACATTACTTGGTTGACAGGTTCATGGTAGCAATATAAGTTATATTATAATAAGCTTACATTGAAATAAGATTGTTTTTGGAAAGGTTATGGTAGGCCTCCTGGCTGCTATTTATTGGAAGTACCTTCTGCAGTACACGGTGACAGTATTCATAATCTTGTATGCGAGATTCCACCTTTTCCAAGAAGATCTACGACTTCGATCGTGTATATTAACGTATAATGTTACTGAGATAATTAGCCCCGTGGCCGAAGAAGTTAGTATTTAACTTAGGCTTCTGTTGGCTAATATAAAATTGGCTCCGAGCGCTTGTTGAACACTAACCCAATTTAGATAAGTTTCCTACCAGAGCTTAACGTCTATACGTGTGATTATAAATTTAATAATCGATTGAGTTCCTTTCTTACTTGTGTTATTCAAGGTGTAATAGGAATTCTGATTTAGGAGAAATTAGGCAGGGTATGAGGTAGGCCTAATCTTCTTCCCTTATCCTCTGTCATCTTACTTCTCTAATTACATAAATCCTATGTAAGTAATCTACATTAATGGAATATTACTTCTCATCTTGTATCAATTAGCTACCTGTGTATATCACACCCTTTAGGCATGCTGTTATCTATTTAATACATACCCGATGTACACTATGTATTTATACTCGAGTTTAAATGAAACCGTGGTATCATGTGAATGGAGTTATGATAGTGTTAACAGTATTTATATCTACGAATTATAATAAAGTATCATCATAAATACTTTTTTGTCCAAAGGTTCCTGTTTTATTGTTCCTGTTAAGTTATCCGTTCTCGTTAAAGACCGAGATGGGGTACATTAATTAATGTTCTTAGTTAGCATTGCCAGTACAATTGTTTGCATGAGCTTACTAGTTTTGCGGACTATATTGTGTTCACCTACGATGACACGATATGAGTGGCGTCACGCTCACTTCATCTGATGTTCTTGGTTTGTGGACAACATATATTATACTCATCTACGATGATGCAATATGAGTCGCACACGAGACACAAAAAATATATATGTATAATAAACATATATGAGAAGCCTGGGAGCGGTATGGCGTATACATAATAATTTATGGATGATTTGTGGGTCGGTACACTTACCCTTCCAAACCGGAACGCAGTAATTACTGCTTGGCGGCAGAAATAGGTAAGGTGGCAGTACTTCCCTGGACAAACTCTTTCACAAGGATTTCTACTGCTAATGGATTCGAACCAGCGTCTTCCAGCAAACCTTGCTAGACGTCATGCCAACTAACGTACGTACTTTTCACCAGAAACGTTAGGTTTTATTATAATACATAATAATAACATATTAGTTAGCCAATATAGTCCGAAAGCTGGGCACAGGCCTTCTCTCACAATGAGAGGGCTGTAGTTCCCACTCGAGCCCAATATGGATTGAGAACTTCACACACACCGTTAAATTGCTTTGCATATATCCGAAAAACTCAGAGCCAACAACCACGGCTTGTTTCTATATTCCATTTAAATAAGAGGACCCTTAATATAAATAATCAACAAATAAAGTCCAAGTATTGAGCCCTGCAGAACACCAATAAAATAACTAAATAAATAAAAAATGTTGACGTGATTAGAATATGAATTTGAATGATAGATAACTTACCGTAATGACAAGGTATTATATCAGGATCTGACTCAATTTCCGTGGTCCCCTCAACCTTCATTTCGTACTGGGTGTAGTCCAGTTTTGGAGATTCACAGTACGTGTTGCTGCTATCTTGCTTCGACAGGGAATCCGCAGTCCGCTCTAGATAAAGAGCGCTACTGGAAGGTATTAAAAAACTTTAATGTGTTATGCAGTGCAGTAAGCAAGTACACTTCAAAGCCGCCTGTGTTTCATTTATACTAAAAAATCGCTTAGTGCCCTACGAATCCAATACAATAATGGGTTTAGAAAGTTTATGGGGCTGCCCCGTTTTTGCAGTAGACGCACTGCAAAAACTATATTTGCAGAAGCACGAGTTGATGGTTTCAATGCCATTATTCACAGAAAAAACAGCCTCATTGCTCAGTAGGCTAACGAACAGTACCAACACATTTTACAGATTATACCTGATAGATATGATGAAATTTTTCATTCGGATCCTGATCGAATAGCGTCACAAGAGTCCATTAGGTCAGGATGAGAGTGAGGGATAGTAGTCTACCACTTCTTATGATTTGATATAGATTTTTGTGTATGGTTAATAGTTGTATGTCAATAATTACGAAACTTCGGAGGAATGCATATGTCAAAAGTTAAACAAATGGTTAGACGGAGAACCTATAGCACTATCACGTGTTATTTAACATTAAATCTGTTGATAAGATTTTGCTGTAAATCTTCCAAATAATAAATAAGTAAGCGAGTATGAAGTGTGAAATGTTGTTCGTGTTTTTTTTATATCCTGTGCAGGTAACTTACGAAGACGGCGGATGTTTGTCGCATTGTTGCCTCGCAACGTGTCGCCGATACAATGCAGTGATGACGCCACACACTCCTGTGCACAGCAGCGCTGCTATCGCCAACAGAGACACGATCATTGGAGATAACGGAAGAGGTGTCGTTGCGCCTGCGAGAAAAAATGGAGGTAAAAATATTTGAACTTTCTAATTACCGTATCCATGGCTACGGTAATTTAAATGCCTATGTCGCCAAACGGTTACCATGTTGGACTGCCACGCAGATTATTCGGATTCTATCCGGGAGAAATTTTGTCTTTGTGTGTGTCCATGGTACCTGCGATACAGAGTTTCCCTAGAGCGGGGCTATGAGTGTGTGCGCTTTAAAAAAATATTAGATCTAATTACCGTTTCCATAAAATATTTGTGTCTCAATAATTCGAAAACTACTGTCTATTCAAATGCCATTTAGACATTCGCGCTGCTATTATAATAGTGTTATAACTCAAAATATGTGAAATTCAAGAATATACCATTATTGAACGTAAAATTTGATTCTGTACACGTCAGTAAAACCGTCTTTAGAATATTGTGAGAAACATTACCTCAAAATGAGACACGCTTTATGTGAGCTTGTTCTGGCCAAAATAGTACTTACTGAAAAATATAAAATTGTTTTTTCTCTTTTATTTTTAAATATATTCGGCAAGGAGGAAATTGTTTGTAATAAACTATAACCTGTACATACATTTTAATTATCTTTCACGGGAAACGAGTAATTCGTTTTTCGTCGATTCGGAGAAAATACACTTTTTGAGTTAAAACACTATCGTATCAACAGTGCCATATTGATAGTTTAGCTTAAAGTTATTCAAATTTCAATGTTATTGGATATAATACTCGAGGAAAAAGAACGGCTACAGTAATTACACTGAGAACACCAAAATGGCTACGGTAATTAGGCTCGGAATACCGAACGTGGCCGTTATGATGTGAACTAACCCTTTTCACATTTTCCTTCATATATCACTAAGCTTTGCAGACAAATATTTGATGTACAGACAAACATGCAATCACTGACAATTATGAAAGAAATGAAACTATGTTTCCGGATTTAAATCGCATATATTTGTTTTTTCAAACAAACCGACGTTTCGGGCCCTTTACAGGTCCCATGGTCACGGTTGACCAATAAAAAATACAAAACACGGTTTGAAAAATAGTTTCATTTCCTATGTGCAACAATCGCGAAAACCTAAGAACTCGATAATTATGAAAGAGTTAACATATGGCCATAGTGTGGACGGTTTACTTGCGTATTTGCCTATTTGGCTCCTTTGTTGTGCGTCGAGAAACCAATCAGCGCGCAGTACCGCGAGTTTGGTGTTTACTGTATTTGTCGAACAGAAAAGCAAGGCAAACCCATTGCCACACACGCTATTTATACATGGTGATTGTTTGCCAAATATATCAAATACGCAAATTCAAATAATCATGTGAAATGCCACCATGACAGATAATCGGTTTAGTGACATATTTCTGCGTCGTTCGTCCTTCTTTCGTCCGTCTTTTCATCGTTTTTCCATTTCATCATTGATTTCCTTTTAAAGAGTCACCATACTTA